GGGAAAAATCCCACTGAGCTCATCAGAGTCCCAGTGCAACTGTCAAAATTTCCATGAGTTTGGAATAACCATCCCAGTACTTCAGAAAGGGCGTAACACAAAGATCCTGTATCCAAAAACATCTGTAAATAAAAACACGTCCTAGGAAATGATGCCAGTGTGGAAAATGATCCAAAATGAGTATTTTCTACCTGTACCTATAGGTTCTGAGTCGTATTTGCATTTTGAGTTGTTCTCACTCAGTATAGCACATTGTAGAAGAGTGAAGAGGACTAGAGACCCAGCTGTATTTCACACACAAGCACGAAGTGCGTGTGTGCTGGGGGGAAAACCCTAGGAGGAAAGAGTACCCAGTCCCAAAATCCAATTGTTGCCAAGACAGGAACAACTGCAAGACGATATAGCAGCAGGCAGCCAAACACATGTGTATTCTCCCTGGCACCACTGTTCCATGCAGTTCTCTATTCATGAATCTAGAATTAAAAAGCCATTTTGAAAGAGATTCATGACTGCAGCAAATGTTTATACAAGTCACAATTCACCTCATCTTTAACTTTCTGACTTTCCCTTAGCTATTTTTAGCTTGTGGTGATTGAACAAAAGCTTTTTTGTCCTGCTGCCCAGCTCCCATCTTGCCCTATAATCCTTTGCTCATAACTCCCCAGTAAAACCGAAGAGAAGCAGCACAGAGTCGGCTTTATATCCTCGTGGCAAGATGAGCAGTAGCAAGATACAATAAAGGAAAGGAAAATCTTGTTTCAAATCAGATGACTTTGCTCATCTGAGAAAAGCCGAATTTGACAAATTTATTGCGAGATGTGAAGCAGAAGTGAAAATCCTGTTCTGTTAGTGTCACTCCAGTAACAGGCACAGTTTCCTGCAGAGCAGCACACATTGGTGGCACCTCTGAGCCTTCGGCAGTGAGGAGGACTCTGCCCTCTCTCCCTGCCCTAAGAGGGCAGCTGACACAGGCACCGCTCCAGCATCGGGAGGGGATAATGCCAAGTCACTACACAGAGGTGTTTGCCAGCTGACCAGCAAACCTTCACTCCCAGGGAAGGCATCAGACAACCTCCCAAACCCAACACAGCAACTCCACAGTTTGACCCAGAGGGTCGTTTTCCATCCCTTGAGTTCTGAGCGCTTCAGACATCTAACCAGCACTGATCTACCCTGTCAGCACACAGAAAGAAAAGCTAAAACACAGCTTTTGCCTAGGGATCTCCAGGTATTGCAAGCCATGAACAACATGCTCCAAAGAGCACGGACGCCACCGCTCTTACCTTGTCCGTGATGTCCTCTTCTGTGCAATCCAGAGTATCCCGGTAGGACTCCTCCATCACCCCCACGGACAGTGCGCCTGTCTGATGCAACTGTCTATAACAGAGACAAACGGCCCCAACCCACAGCAACACAAACATTAGGGAGAGCATTGCAGAACACGAAGGTTTAAGATGACATTTGCTATTGCAGAGCGCGATCCCCTCTCACATCGTCGGCCGCTGCCTCCTTTTCCGGGAGATCCGACCACGCTGCTCCTTCTGGGGCTACAGGAGTCGCGAGCAGAGCCAGCTGGGGGTCAGCCCCTCACAAAATCACAGTCCTTTTCGTCAAGCCAGGCTCCAACAGGCAAACAAGGCCACCACCTTGGAGTTCCTGGACTACGCGACTGCATCGGTGGCCGCTTCCTAGCGGAATGAACTTGCCCGAGTAAGCAAAGCACAGAGGTGGACAGATACTGTCGAGACTTCATGCTATGATCACTTGTTCTTGCTCTTTGGAATAAGAAAAGATAAGAGCTCACTCTCTCCACTTTCTTTGATGAACTTACTAAGGCTGTGCTGCCCAGCAGAGGACAGAGTACTTTGCTCTAGTCACTGATAATGCTAAAAGAGCACGAGGGGCAGTGGGTGCAACAGGAGGAAGGGAATGAAATACCCTGAACTTATTGTGAAATACCCCAACCCGCCGCCCACCACCCACCGCAAAAGCCAAGAACAAGCTAATCATTAGCAAGGGCTTGCAACATCCCCGTCCACATGGCTTTGTTTTGATCTAAAGGACACAGCTCCCGATGCTCTGTGGAACAGTTCATCAGCTCTTAATTATTATTATTATCGCTGAAGATAAGCTCCATCTTCACATGGCAAAGTACATAACCAATGCTACAGCGAGGGTCTGTTATATTGCACTGTGAACTTTAGAAAGATGCTGCCTGGAGAGAAAAATACATAAATAAAGGATGTTGCCAGTGAAACTCTTCTAATACTACCAGTGACTTCAGTAACGCGGCTGACACCACGGTCTGCTCTGAAGCGTGTGGATTGGCAGCCTCGTGGGGCACACTGGTGTCGTTTCCCCTTCTGTAAGCACAGAAGCAGCTCATACAGCGCAAGTATTTACTCCTAGCCCCTACGAGCTGATGGGTTACCTGAATTTGTATTCCCTAAAGGCAGCAGCTCCCAAGCCAGAAGGGGTGCAGGGAGGCTGTCCAGAAAGCCAGAAGCTCCATGTAAATTCTCTGGAGACTCCAGTGCAGTGAGTTAGAAAATCAGAGCCAAGTGGAATCCCTACAGTCAATCTTCTCTACCAAAGTGGTATCCTAATTCTTAATCTGATCCTTAAATAAGGACAAGTGACCTGTAAGCGTCCTGAGCGCTACATGGAAACACAGGACAACTGCTCAGGGCTTTCCCCATTCACCTGCGCTGCTGCTACAGGCAGTTTGAGGAATCTCAGCCATGGAAAGGGCAGTGCCTGTGAATGGAGAGGGGTAAGAAGGTCCAATCTTCCATAAAGAAAGTGTTTTTATTCCCAGAAGTTTAACCTAAGCCCTCCCTAAATTTGCTGTGCCAGAGAAGTGGCTACATCCAGTTGGAATGAGCCATCTGTCCCTGGAAATCTCTACGCTTCCAACCGAGCATGCGAGGAAAAGCCAGCAGTGGTTCCCGGAACGGGCAGATGGAGCTCGGCGGAGCCACGTGCTGCAGGAGCTCCTGCACACAGGGACTTGCTCCTTGGGAGCTCAGAGTATCAGTCCTACTGGTTCTGTCATTTAGAGGAGGGAGGAAATTAATTTTTAACCATGAAAAGCTAAAATAAAATGCCAGCTTGACTCTAAGTGAAAAGTCCTGTTTTCTCTATCTGCAGACTCCTCCTGCTTCACCAAGTGCCTTAGCAAGGGGGCAACAAAGCTCAAGAAATATGAAAGCAAGGGACAAGAATAGGCCTAAAACAGGAAGCCTGGAGACAGGCTGCTCCATTCAGCCTTCTTTCCTGATAGTGTTTTTAACAAAAGTCTTGAAAGTGAGAGGACTGGAACTAGGAAATCCAGTACAAGATCCACTTCCTTTCCAGGATGGGAAATCATGCCAACGGAGACTTGCTGACCGCAGGAAAAATTAAAAAGGGAAAGGTGAGAGAATAGTTGGGGAGTGATTTAAAGAAGCTGCTTGATTCAGTGCAGCTCAGCTGTCCTTGTGCATGACTTACAGGGACCAAACTGAGTGCGGGAGCCAGTGCTGGGGACAGAAGCTTTCCTGGACCTGCCCAAGTGAGTGAGCACATGCACTTCCAGAGGGAGCAAGGCTGCCCCAAGCACTTCCCAAAAGAGCTGCCTATTTCCCCCCAAATGTCCCTGTTCTGTTTGGAAACAAGCAGAGGGAAATCCAGAGGACTCAGAAGGCTACAGCCACAGCGAGCAAGACAGAAGAGGCAGGCTGGGCAGCTACCAGGAGCCTCAGCATTGCCTTAGAGCACGATGCTAAGAGAATGAGGAGGGACAGATCCCAGGTTTCCTAAGGACACGATGGACCTGATGCTAAGAGAATAAGGAGGGATTGCGAGGACACGAAAAGACAGAGGGACCCCAGGTTTCCTAAGGACACGATGGACCTTCTCCTCCACAGGCTGTAGCAAGGGGTCCCCAGGCACTCTCAGAAGGCCCTGCTGGAGGCTGCAGCACTGCAAGGTGCTGGGCAACACCATGCAGAGCACAGCACAGGGCGGGCGGCCCGCGTGGAGGGCGAGGGGAGGAGAGGGCCCAGCAGGGGCATCCCAGAGGACGTGCTTGCTGGGGACGTCCCCCCAGCTTCACATGCCCCCTGCAACGGGGCACATAGGGTGGGGGGAAAAAGCACCCTTGGTGTGTCCCGAAAGAAATCAGGTCAAAGCAGCCTCCAGCACCAAGCACAAGAGAGAAATTGCCACTTAAGGGAAAAAAACCTGTTATGAAACACACCCGAATTAAACCCTGCTTTACCCCAGGAATATGCAACACGGCCAGAAGTAACACACCATGAAGTTATTCGACAGCCTTCTGCAGGCAGGGCAGCTCACATGCACATTTCTCAGCAAAGCAATAAGACAAATAGCAGCTTACCTTGCTACCTTCTTGCTTGAGAGTCTTTTATTCGGACTGTGAACCAAAAAACAGGAAAGAGTTAGGAAAACCAACAGCGAAGAGCAAGGGAAACAGGAAACTGAGAACACTATGGGGCACATCCTTTGCTATCACAGCACAGAGTGCACACACACACACACGGACACACACACACCCCATACACAGCCAGCACAGCTGACGCAGCCCACATTAAAATGCAGGTGCTGAAACCGTTCACATATTTAGAAATGTTTTGAATCACATAAAATAACACTGCAGAAATCTCACCGACTCCAGCAAGGGTTTCCTCTTGCGACTGTTCAATTCCAGGCCCGAAAGCTGATCCCCAAGGAGAGTGCTAATAATAGACGTGAGTTTGGCGGGCCTCAGCCCAGCCCCATGGTGACCCAGCCTGCACGGCACCCACCCGGCTCCAAAACACCCCGAGTCCTCCCTGAGTGCTGCCCTTGCAGCAGGGTCCCTTTGCAGGTGCTGTGGGGATTTTCTTCTTGCTCCCGCCTCCACCGGCCTTTCCATGAGTTTGTGCTCTCCGCTTCACACTTGTCCCAGATTATTCTCGCTGGGCCATATTTGGCTCTGGATCACCACAGAACGGCCAGTTATTTGTAATGCAAAGATTTTAGGGGCTGCTGATCCATGACACTTTCTGCATTTGGAACAAGGTCCGCAGGCTCTTTTGCACAGGTAACTGAGCAAGATCGTGCCTCTGTCTGTGAGCTAGCCAGCTATTACTGTACCACCATGGTTATGGTTTAGTTCACACTTAACATGACAGGGCCTCAGGGTGTTATCCTGCCTGTCCCATCCTTGCCATCGGCAAGGAGGGACACCAGTGGCTGCAGGGGCACACTCGCCTTGGAGTAATGGGAAGGAGCATCTCCCAAGCAAGTGGCACCCATCAGGCTCTTGCCGCAGCTTCCACCCAGTCACACAACCCGCAGCAAGCAGATGCCACTTGGAGCTGTTATGGATACAATACCGGCACTAAACTACATCAGCAAGCGAAAGAAAACAAGCCCAAGCTAAGCAGCAGTAATCACATTTACCAAGCTAAGCATCTGGCAAAGAAAAAAGACTCAACACAATCACAAACCCATGTGGCGACCGCGTGAGAGCTTGTTTCTGACTAGAGAAATGCAACAGCTACAATTAGTTCTTGGAAGGAGGAATTAAAAATAGCTCAGTGCAAGTTTCTTTGCAGAGCCCCTGGGAAACAATGCCGGGCCAGGGATTGTTGCTGGCCCTCGTGTCAAAAGTACATCCTCAAACCGGAGATTTCTAAGGAGAGCAGGAATCCCTGTTGGCCGGGCTTCAAGGACGCACGGGGCACTTCTTCCCAGCCCTGTGGGGAGGAGGTTGGGCCCTGTCTTTGCCAGCAATTGTAAGAAGTCATGTATGGTTCTAGGATCCAAGGGGAAGAAATTGTTTTTCCCTGCAAGCAACTTATTGCAAACCAGTGCCGGCACCTTCGGGTGCATCTCACAAGAGGGTGCGACACCATAACTTCTGACTCAAGTGCACTGCAACCAAAAACACTGCGGGCTGGTCGTCTTCAGGATTCACCTCCAGGGCTTGGCAGCTTCCCTGGTTCAATGCAAAGCTGTTCTGTCCAGATTTTGGTCCCATTTCTGCTGTTCTCTTAGCCTGCAATCCACCATTTCTGTTCCATGTTGCATCTTCACATTGCTAGTAATATCAGGAGAAAAGGATCAATCCCAGCACGTCCCAAGTGCTGCTTCTGTAGAGGGTGCCTCTCACCTGCTTTCACTAACAGAAAATGCTGAAAATCCAACTTCCATCAGGTCCGTTACAGGTGTCACTTTTCCCTCTGCTCCTGGTTTGCAGCTCTTTCCTTGTTTTGCATGAACCTATGGGCCATCCTGGAAGACTAGGCACTCACTCCAAAACAGTCTGGTTTTGGCAGTCCTACCTCTTGACATTCTTGAGGCTTCCATTTTTCATCAGTTCCTTTCTGTTCCTTCCACTACTATTCCCACTCACTCTGAGCACAATGAAGGGCAGGGAGGTGTCGTTAACCTTGCTTGCTGTCTTCCAGCGAGGTGTAGCTGCCCAATTGCCCCGGGCCCTTCTCCTGCTGCTCTCGCCAGGACACAGCCTGTGCACTGAACATCCTTCACTCCGCTCATCTTGGAGCTTGACGGGCCTCCTGCAAGCCCCATTACCCCTTCAGGTCTGAAAGGAGCTCCTGAAAATTTGTAGTTCTTTTTCTTCTCCCTGGGCCAGACGCTCACACTAACACAAATGCTCCTTCCCATGAAAGTTGTGTGTTTCATTCTCAATCAGTCTTTCAGACATGTTCTCTTTCTTCTTCAGAGAGTATGCCCATGCCATGGGCATTTTGGAACTATTCCTGTGTGTTTCTTGTCCAGGGCCAGAAAGATTCTTCTGTGTTTCCTGCTGTCCTGTTGCCCAGCACCAGAAAGTTTCTTCCCAACTCCAAGGAACTTCTGCAACCAAAACACCCAACAACAACAGTGTGCTCAGGCAGGCTTTGCATTTGGCTTCTGTTGGATGCCTAATTTACATATCAAAACTGCAGCTTAAATAACAAGCAGAGACCAAGGCAAGTACTAAAGAAAGGCACCTCTTGCAAGTATTTTCTTTTTGTTGGTTTAGTCTTCAGATCAAGTCAAAATGTGGAGCAAGAGGCCGATACCCTGGTCACGGCAGCAAGACAGGCAGAGTCAGCAATACATCAACAGTCAACAACACACACTAAAGCTGTTTTGAGTTAAGTCCCAGAGGTGTCTGTATTTTAAGAAACACTTCGAAACACTAGTTACACTTAAAACACACACTTGTTACGCCGCTTCCTCTTAGCAATTTAGAAAGTTAGATAAACTGAAGTACTTTGCAGGAACAGCTGCAGACTTACACACAGAGAATTGGGAGCACGGATGGAGGAATCTCATCTAGTCACCATAAGCCCAAAGGGCACATGTAGAAGGCAAAACAATGTGCAAAAAAACTGTTTCACTCCAAACGATGACCTGGAACAGGGTAAAGAAGAAATTGCTCCTCCAGCAAGTCAAAACCGATGTCATTCCCACAGAGGCGCCATGGGATCTGGAAGCCTCCTCTGGAAATCCCATCCTTCACCAGGAGGCCCAGAGTGTTAATTCAGCCTTGGACACGTTTGGTGGGGAAAGCCTGGGTTAGTGGGGCTGCTGGTGCACCCAGGAAGTCCAGCATTCTCCTCATTATTTGCACAACTAACTTGTATTAATCTTCAAGGCCTCCCTAGAGGCTCATAACAACAAAGGAAAACACTTGTCTGAGAGAGGCTAAGTACATTTTCCACAAACAAGTTTCTGTTTGTCTTCTAGCTCTCTTCCCTTAGCTACAGCACAGGAGAGTTCTCATTTTGTGCTGTCCCTGTATATATATAGGACAGATCCAGAGCAAGAACATGACCAAAATGAGCTTGAAAGAGCACAGTGCATAGGAGAAGAATGATCATCATTAACATCAGGTCTGCTATCCTTCCCAGCAGACTGTTCTAACAAGCTAGAACAAATAAATCCTTCTGCATCTGTCAAACCAGCAAGTCAAACTGCGGGCTTGGAGAGCTCGGAAAGTTACTTCTAAAAACTCCTGAAGTTGCTATATGAAGGCCCCAGCATTTAGCATAGCTACACTGCTCGTGGTGGATGGATGGATAGGCAGGCACCTGGAAAAGCCAGCCAAAATGAGATTTCACTGCTGTAACTTCAAATATCTACAGAAAAGGTCCCAAGCCCTAGAGAGCAAGCTGATGTTCCCAAATTACTGCTGCAGCAGGAGGAAGCATTGCTCCAACCCTTCCAGATTTGAATCAGCAACTCAAAAGTGCTTCTTGGTTGTTTCTGACCAGCCAAAAGACCAGGCAGTCATTTCCTTGATGACAGAAATACTGTACGTGACCAGCTTAAGACTTCAAACCCTGTCTTACGGCCTCCGTTACTCGGAGCGCAGTGAAGTGCAGCATTCACATAACACTCAACAGGACGTGCATAGAGACTGATTAGAGCAGAGCGGGAGACTCCCATTGTCTGTCAGCCCCGTGGTTCTCATTCAGTGAAACTTCTGCCTCCCTCCATAACCCTGTTATGGGCTCCACCACCTGGAGAGGCTCACCCAGCTCAGGGACACTCGTCTCCTCTCATAAAGGCTCATGAAGAAACACAATGGCCACGGAAAGCTTTGCAAGACAAGGAGAGTCTTCCCTTCTCCAGAACATCATTCCAGACACTCAGGTTGCCATGCACGAGATCAATTACCTATTCATTTCAAGATCATTCAGGCGAGCAGAAAGATCCTCAAGGCGGTTGATTTGTTTGTGGCACTGGCTACAGTAAAACTCAAAAGCTTCATCTGCGATAATGCTGTGCAGTTTCGCAGCGAGCGGATTGGTGCTAGAGAAATCACAAGTGTCAGTTTAACAGGACAGAACAGACTAACCCGCTTTCGTCTGTGGCTTCCACAAGCTAAGTGCACATTTGCAAGGGAGAGTCTCCAGGCAGGGAATTTTTTTGCACAAGATACAAGTCTTGCAGTTAAAGATTTCAGGCAGACCAGGTTACCTTCACACTCAAACATGAGTGAACTTTTAGAAGCACAATCAATATGGAGTTGCCATAAATTAGCGAGTGAACTTTTAGAAGCACAACACCAATCAATATGGAGTTGCCATAAATTAGCCGGACTTCTGTTACTCCCCTCCCACAGAATTTGCAGATATTTGCAAGTGGTGAATTTGGCCCACGTATGCAAATCCATATGCCAGCCTGCCCTTGTGGAATATCCTCCCAGAGCCCCAGGAATGTCAGATGGATGCTTTGCACAAACCCATGTACCTACAACATTTATAAGCTGTCATCATTTTCCAAGCAACCTGTCTCAGATGGCCCCAGGGATCTTCCCGATCCGCGCTGTCAAACACAGCCTCAATGGACACACTGCTGCTCACAGCAGGGAGTCTGGGAGCAAAATGTCTTTGGTCAGTCACACCATTTTCCAGCGGGAGTATCTTAAAAATAGAGCAGCTGTGTTGCTGTAGTGCTGCTGTTTGCAAGGCACACCAGGGAGGCAGATTTTCATTTCAAAGAGCTGCTCTTTGAAGCTAAACTCTAAAAAGAAGGATAGCGCTCAACTTTTGTCACTTCTTTTACAGAGTGAAGCATGTAGATTCTCATGAGGCAACTCAGCCCTGCTGTTCAGGAAGGGAAAGCCTGAAGTTCATAGCTTGGCATGGGTACGTGGATTTCTAGAGCACTTATTTTGCCTTATTACTTCACGTGCCCTATGGCTTTTCGGTTCCAGTCACTCCCATGGACAGTAAGCTGCCCAGGCGTTCGACAAGCTGGGGAGCTTTTTCCCCACCTGGCATGACTTGGCTGATAATTTGACTGAGGGATCCCAAAAGGCAAAGAATTTTTATCTTTTAGGGCCAAACGCACACCACAAAGCCTTTCTGCCAGCAAGCACGCTTCTGGAAGCCACAGACTTCAATCAAAGTAAGGTTAATAGTGAAAAAAACAAAGCAATTCAATAAGACAGACAGGTAAAGGTGTGAGCAAACACAAACAAGCTTAAAACCAAAAGGCATCTGAAAGGACTGGTCAGCCCGGTGCTACAGATCCACAGTGGCAAGTCCTGGCCCCGGGAGAGGCTGGGCACTTCCAGACCGCCCGGAGGGGAGCGGGAGCACCTTGGCATTGCCCCTGCCTGGCTTTGCTGGGGGGGTCAGCAGCCCAGCCACCCCCAGGGCAGGCCCATGAGTTCATGCCATCCTGTACAGTATTTCCTAGCCCCCTTAGACCAGATAAATGGGCATTATTAAACACCAAATTCCTCATCTCTTCCCACACTTGGGAAAAATTTGAAGAACCTTCTGAGGGCAGGGTTGGTCTGAGGAAAATCACTGTCCGCCAGCAGTCACTGCAGATGTGTGAGCCGACAGCAGCCTTGCTGCGGCCAGAAGCAGCAAGGGGCCTTTTCCTGGGGTCTGACTCCACATTTAGCTCCCTGCAAGACCCGTTCAGTGAGTGCTCCTCGCTGCAGCGAGTCCATCGCCCTCCCGGGACAGCAGGGCAATTCCCTCGATCCACAAGCCGCTATGCAATACGCGAGCTCTAACCTACCAAGCATTAGCAAAGATATGGAAAACCGTTAGTGAAGCATATAAGAAAGTCCACAGGCCAGCCTCTCAGTTTTTCAAGTGCATACAAGTTCACTCAGCTGCTGGCCACGTTTATTTTTCTGCCATTTGAGTGGGTGAAGGTGCAGGGCATCCCCACATACCCTCTCCTATGGCAAACTGCCATCCTCTGCACCATAGGAGGTCATGCTGCCTCCTCTCTCCATCCCACACAGTCAGGTTGGTCTCCTGTAGACCATTTGGTGTCAACAGCTGAGGATGGGTACATGAGAGGAGCTTTTATTTGTAGTCACCCTTCATTCTCACCAAGCATTGCAAGGACATCCCTCCGTGACTGCATGAAGGTATCAAGAAGGTCTTGTGAGGCCCTTGGTTTTCTTATCAGCCTTCTCATGAAGTTCTTCCAGAGCTGAAACTTCAGCTAAAACTGCAGCTGAAAACTTTGCTGACTTTCTTCCTGTTTAGTAGAGATGTGTGGTGATGCGACCACTTACAGGTCCAACTGTTCCTAATATTCAAACCACAGCAAGACAATTCAGTCTAAGCCACTGATAGCCTACGGTTCTTTGCAAGATCCCACTATGTTTAAATGTGTTCAGAAAGCAGGGCTCTTGTGCAAAAAAAAGCATGTTCTTAAAAATATCAACTAAGAAATTTCAAGCCCATAATGATAGCCCAAGGTAAAGGCTGGACCCAAAAGTCAGGAGGAAATTCTCTGCCTTGAACACAACAGCATTCTTCAGTTTGTTAGGGCTTTCTCTGCACTCTCCCTTCCCAGCAAGTCCCAGCGGTGAGGCCACAGCACACCCATCAGGAACACATGAGCAGATATGCAAAAAGTCTTTGGCTCTCAAGTTAGAGAAACGTAGGGAGCTACAGCCAATTTTAGTAGGGTTGTGAGAGGGAAAAAGCATCCCCTACGCTTGCATTTGGACCACAAGCAAGTGTAGGGCCCCTGCCAAGTTAACCTCTCCCAGCAGAGCAAAGATGCTGCAGAGCACAAGCTCACGAAGAAGAGCAGAGCACACGAAGAGCACGCCCTGGCACAGCAGAAGTGGTTTCAACACTGAGTACACATAGCCAGAGAGCTCAGAATGGACACTAAACAAAAAATGAAACAGAGTACAAAGCTACCTAGCTAAGTAGTTGTTGCCAGGAACCTTCTGGACTAGATTGGAGGCCCATGTAAGGAATAACTCCTAACAAAGACCATGAATGGTTCCTATCTGATAGTACTTCCCATGCTGTAGAATAAATATGGAGAGCTGTTTCCAGCAGACCTGTCCCAACACTCTGACAGGAGAGTAAGCGTGTGGAGCGAAGTGTTCAGCACATTGGGAGCTGGAGCACTGGTTTCTGAGGCAGTGGGAGAGTTGTAATTTACTGCAATACCAGCAAGCAGCTTTCTGTTGTAGGTTTAGCTAAGATGTCCAAAACTGCTGCCTCACCAGAAAAAAAGAGGAAAGAAAACCTGTCCTGCAGGAAAACACAAAGGCATGGATTTCTAAACAGTTCTTCTCAGCCATGTCGAGTCAGACCTGCCTTAAGCTCTACAAAGGGCTTTGGGAATCTAGTAAAAAAGAGATAGATAGCAAAATAGCTGTGGCAGGTTTAGATTGCTGTAGAAAGTCCCAGTTGCACTCCCTCCGTAGCGCTACTGTAGGTGGCATCATCCTAAAGGAAGGAAACGCATTGGTCTGCTCCTCAACACAAGACGTGGCCGTCAGGGCTGGCTCCTGACACAGACTCACTGCCCGATGGACACGTGCATCCTCCGTGTTAACTGCCAGCACAGAGACTTGCAGGGCTGCAGTAGTGGATGATCGTTTCAGCTTTTAGTTTTTTCCCCCCGTCAAGAGAAGTGATGACTGGTTTGTAGTCACAATAGCTCTTCAGTCCACCCTGCACGGGCTCAAAAGCGGCTTTTGTTGGTTTCAGGCCTTAATGCAAAGCCTGCAGGAAACACTATAGCAGCCTCTTTCCCACTGTGCCAAACCAGCCGAGCATCATACCAAAGTCAAAATTGCAGGCTTAGGAAAAGAAAAAAGTTGTCATCCAACAGGATCAGGAATAAAGTTGTATGGCAGCTTTGTCTGCCAGAAAGAGATACAAGTCATAACCCTAAGAGGAGAGGAAATGTGATGCTGTACTGGATGCACGTGAAGTTCAGGTTATTCTTTGAACATCGCTGCCTCGAGATGGCAAGATAGGAGCTGTTCAGGAAAATGGAAGATTGAGGAAAGCAGTTCTCTTCTTCAGAGCTGATTAACCCTTTATATTCAAGCTTTGCGAGGAACCCCCTTCTGCAGGCCAAGTTAGGGGCAAACCCAAAGTAGACAACTCACAAACCCTGGATGAAGATGCTAAGCAAGAGAAAACGGTTAAAATATCACCAATGCTGGCCCTAGCATTACCTGGGAGAGAGGAAAGAGGAGCTGTTAAAGCTGCTTTCCCCATTACACAAGCTGTCCGAGAACAAATCCGCTTCATTCCCTTCTCCATAATCCTCAAAGTGCTCCTCTCCGCTGATTACCGTAACGATGGAGTGGTTGAGGTCGGAGCCCAGGGGGAGGTCATGTGGATGGGACCTGCGGGAGCAAAGAGAAAGGTGTTACAGGCTGATCATGCAGCCGCCTTCCCAATTGTAACCATTAGACCCTTTTTGTCCCAGTCGTGTTTAGCACAAGCTGCCATTTGACAGCCTGGCTCTCCTCTGCAGCACAATTCACCCCGGGCCTCAAGCGCTTGATGGGCAGCCCAGATACCCCATAGAAATTTGCAGCAAGTTTTTGCAAACCAAACCAGGGCTTTTTCAGGAAAGCTCCCTCGGCAACCGAGGGGTGGCATCTGGGGTAGACAAACCGGCAGGGCAACACGCAGTGCTGCTGGCAAGTGTTTGCATGGCACGGGCTCAACCAAAAGCAGGGCAGAGAAAAAGCTCATTGTGCATCAACACACACCAAATGTGTTCAGAGTTACCGAGCCAGCCTGCAGGCCAAGCTCGCATTCACCGAGTGCCTGTAATCCTATCAGGAGCCCAGCACCGGGGGTTAACACTGTAGCCCGCTGGTGACACAAATCCTGCCCCTTTGCAGGAGGTTCCTCTTCCCGACAGTGCCATTCCTGGCAGTATGAAGGAGTCCCTTCCTCAGCTTCTTCTGGCACAATGTTTCATGCAGTCCTAACAATTTAGGGCTGGTGCTTTTCAGGCATTTTGAACACTGGCTCCCCAGGCCTGTGCTGCATGAAACCTAACCGGAGACCACAATGGCACAGATCCTGGGATTTCCCTTGCTTTAGATGGGACACAACTGCCCTTGTAGAAGTCATCATTTCTGTACCATTTAAAACGAGCAGTACTGTATAAAAGCAGCTCAGGACTCCACTTTTTAACGTGGAGACTTTAAAGTGAAGCTGGTAGGGTGGGGGTAGAATTTATAAGGATGGATCCATGGAAAATGTCTGGCTATCTACAAGCAAGCCTGCATGTAGGAGTCACATATGTGTGTTTGAGGCAGGGGAATTAATATCATTCTCCTCTCTAAAATCCAAAACTGGAGGGCAGGGTGGGGAGTAAAACCTGGTATTTTAGGAAACACCCCCATCTTCATCCATTTGCTAGGAAGAGGAGGTACAACTATATTGTTGCACTAAATCCAAAAGAGAAGAGATTACAGATAAGTCATTTAGGACCAAAATCTGCAACATCAGAAGGATTTGCCCTTATCCTGCTAATGAAAACATGTCAACCCTCAAGACAAAACAGCCACAAATCTCTACTGAGCAGCAAACAAGTCCATTGCAGCCTGTGGGCATCAGTGCATCTTCCTAAGCGCTTGAGCAGCCCTGTTATTTCTGTAACAAGATCTGTCAGAAACTGAATCTCCCAAGCAGTGAGTCAGACACTTCACCCATCAGACCATTTTAAAAAGCATCAAAAATCTGCCCAGAAATAGAAGGGAGGGGGTGGAATTTTTAAATTAGCCAAGCAAAACCCAGCCCCAAATCTCTAAGTACAGGGCTCTGCTTTGACAAGCCCCTTGCCGAAGCAGATGTGACCAGGCACCAGCAGGATCCCTGAGCCAGGGATGCTTCAGGCACCAGGATTTTAATACACCTATTGGGGCTTTATTGGTTTCAAGATCTAGAGCTCAACTAATCTTTACTATACACAGCTGAAATACCCACTTAAGCTCCAACCATTTCAGGTATGTTGAGCTTTAAGAGCTGCTGAGGACCAGTGTTCAATGTCCGAGCTTTCATTTAGTCCACCAGCTGTATTGGTAGGGTTTTACTACAAACTGTCCCCTGGAACAGCTCTGGACATTAGAGGTGCACAGTGGCTGCCCTGTCAGGGCTTTGAAGGCACAAATACAACTTCTTGGGAACAGATCCCTAGAGCCTTCAACCTCAGACCTTCCAACCTTTAAAGCAAAAGTCCCAATTCAAATGAATTTCTGGTTGGAATTATTTGGCTACCTCAAACTTGCACATCTAACACACCCAGCAGCACATGGCATTTCCCTTGGACGGAGCACCTGAAGGACACCAGACCCATAATGACAGCAATGAGGCAAGTCTCAGCGATAACAGCATTAAATAATTCCCAAGCAAAGTATTTTGTACCTACAGGCAGGCGATTCCAAGGCACGTCATTTCCCTGAGAGGACGAGAGCGCATTCAGGCTGCTGTGGCCCCTCCAAACACCCCCTGCGCAGCCGTCTCGGCACTCGGCGACCGATTATGTGCTCCAGTTTAAGAGCCACCGAGCTGAATGCACTTGAGCAGGCAGCAGAGCCAGCTAAGCTAATTTCTGCTCTAATCCAGCACCTCTAAGAGCCAGCGCTCCTGCAGCCGCAGAGCAGCGTGCCCTGAAGCTTCAACTGCTCACGGGGTCCTGCACGTCCCTACATGGGCTTTCAGGTGGGACAGGAAGCCACAAAAAGCCTCCTGCTTTCTAAAAGCAAAGGAGAATATAAATTCTACAAAGAGCACCAGACCTGAATACTAAAGTTATTACTTCCCCTCCCGCCTTCTTAGCCTCCCAGTTTCATCCCCAAAACAGCTTTCCCTGCAACATCTAGGAAACGAGGGCAGCTCAGGAGCAGCTCTGCCAGCAGCGGGTCAGACTGCGCAGGGAAGAAGCTCTTAGTTCACATTGCTCTGCTTCAGGCAAAAGATTAAAACTGGTTATTAGAAGAGATGGTTGCACAAAGGGCGCACACATGTTTAGGAGAAACAACACTACGATGAGTTCTGCTCCTGACTTGAAAATTATATGTTGCATTTCTGGCTTCTTAAATGATAAATTAAAAACAGCAAATATTTCAGCAATCTGAGTGCTTATTTTGAAGGTTAAAGATGCTAATGAGGCAAGAGAAGCTCTCCCGAGGCAAGCAGTGATTAGCTCAAATTATGACCAGATCAAGCTTCATAAAAAGCCATCACATGGTGCAGTCAAATTATTATTAAAGAAAATATACTTAGGTATTGCATAAAATTATAAACACTAAGAAAAAAAGTTTTAGCCAGAGAGATTCAGCACACTATCCTCACAAACAAGAGAAAATGCATCCTCTGGATGCGTCTTCCTCAGTCAGCTACTTGCAATATGCTACATTTTTTTGACCCACACTTAATTCTCTTCCTTCTTGCTTCCCTCGCTCCAACAGCAAGCAGCACTGACCCGTGCTCCGGCTCCTCGATGGGGTCCGTGAACTCCGAATGCACCGTGGAATCGATGGCACTGTCTGTTTCGACCTCGTCGTGCATCTCGTGGTGTACTAGTGTGCTGGTGTCTTCATCCGTGAAGGTTTCGCACTCGCTGTACGTGCTCTCTGAGCCCATGTAAGCACTGTCAGTCACCTCATTTGCCTGGAATAAAACACAAGACGGGAAAAATAAGTTACCCCATGAGACATCAGCTACTCGGGTTCATCGCAAAGCAGGACAAAACACACATGGGGCAGCTTGTTATTGCTGCATTGCATTTCTAAGGACGGAAATCCAGCCTCCTAACAGCACTGAGCTGCACGCCGTGTCCATGTCGCTTGGTTGTCTCCACGGAACAGCTCCCGGCTCCGTGGTTGTCCGAAAACCCCCTTGCACTCCGGCTCCCGGACTCGCTGCGTCGCCTGCGAACGCCAGATGCTTCGAAACATCAGTGTTTGGAAAGCAAACCATAAAGATACACTAAATAAGGCTTCGATAGGGATTTTGGTGAGAGTAAGTTTGTTTTTCCAAGTCCAGGAGCGATTACCCACTACTCAGTGGGCAGTTCTGAGCACAATTTATTTCAGCCACTTTGTGTTAAGAGGACAGAGTTACTAATCTGGATTCTCTACCAGCAGCACCATTCACAGCTGTCTTTTAGGTCATAAACACTTTTCCTGTAGCAATGTTAAGACAACATCCATCCCTCAACAGAAAAAAAAAACACTCGTTTAACTCAATTATTATTACAACACTTTGCTGCTGCTCCGCATCCTGGCAGAGGAAGGACATCGCACAGAAGAAAATCAAAGTTTCTTGAGGCAAAAAAACATTGGACAAGCAAAGGCTGGAGATCATGAAGGCTGCACACGGGCACACGCTGGAGGACATCTCAGTCATGATACACACCGGGATCCCCCTCAAAGGCTCTTGTTGCAAGCAACGTACCAGGCACCCCTCCCAGCACAAGGCCATTTTTTGAACAAACCTCAAAATAAAAAGGACACCCAAAGATGCTCAAAAAAAAGCCGTTTGCATCATCTGAAGTTCCTCCAACTGGGTCAAACCTGCTCTGTAGATATTTCACTTTGTCTAAGATTTGTCAAAGTCCAGCATTACTGAAGACCAGCATTTGGAAAAAAAAAAACACACACATGGGGCAAAAGAATAAAGCAGTTATTAATGTAATTTGATTCAGATGTATATAGGAGAATGGGAAAGTCCTGCCCATCACTGTAGCTCTTGCTCTCTGGTATAATGGTAGTTTTAAGGCACACACCGTTTCTGTGTAGCAGGAAAGCACCAGGCCAACAGAGACAAACGTATTTTTGCCATCGCGTTGATTAGATTTAGCAAACACAGCTGTTAGCAGCCTATGCTGGGACAGCTCTGCAGAGGAGGTAAGGTCTGATTCTCTTCTCTTTCAGATAAAGACTTCACAAACCAAAGAGCTTTCACATTTTTTCACCAGCATAAACAGGCTTGAGATACAACCAAGGTCTCGTTTGCCATCCAAAAGTCTGAGACTCGGTGGGAAAAAGTAGTCCTCAGAATTCCCCTCCCAGCACTACTTCCTACACACTGGCTTTCCAAAAGGTACTTGGGATCATGTGCTTGACCTGCTGTGTGCAGCTCCTCATATGGACCTGTTCATTTCTACGGCACGTAATTACCCACTCCAGGTTAAATTACACGTTGTGGTTACTGCAGACAAAGTGTTTTGTTGACTAGCCATCTTCACCCACGATTTCTCAGACTACCTCAATACATCTGATGCCAAAAGGCTACCAAGAATTTGTACGAGTGCTCTGAAGGGAACGATCTCTGCCCATAGTAGGCAGGCTTGTGATAGAGGGACAACCAAATAAAGCGGATCAGTGAATTCTCTGCAGGTCATCTCTGCTGAGGTACATGGAAACTGCTCAATAGCAGTTTGGTTCATATTCTAGACATGCATTTGATAGCAAAGGAAATTAGTTTGGCAGCTGGGGGACGGAAACTGAGCAATACACACATCAAGACCCTCTTTCTGAAGCTTTGCTTTGCTTTCATGGGTCCATGTTGACCTACAGACATCACCAACTCTCTCCAAGGCAACTCCCTGAAGCTGAACATTGCGTTAGTCTTTGCAGGACCAGAGCCTAAAGTCAGCTTCAGAAGAGAGGGTTGTGCAAGTGAGCCCCACTTCAGTAGAGAGATGATGCTGCAGAGAACAGCGTCAGAGAGTACAGGGAGGACGTGGCTTGCACTAGCCTTCAAAATAGAAGCAAAAGCCTAAAAAAAAGCCCCAAACTCTCCCCATCACCTTCTTTAGGAGGTATAAATCCAGCAAGACTACTTATGTAACTCAATTTAGGGACATACTTAAGGGCTTTATTGGATTTATGCTGCACTTCCTAGAAGCACCAGCCAGTCTCTTAATACTCGAGCAGAAGGAGGACACGGAGCTTTGGAACCGGAGCCCTGGCTCAGTGGCGCCCGCTTTGCAGGCTGCTGCGGGAGGGACACGCGAGGACGTCGCCCTGGTGAGGCTGCTCAGGGCTCCTCTGACACCGCACCCGCTCCAGCAGAGCCTCCGGCGGGCGTGCGCTCGGATAACCTCAGTGCTTTAGGGAAGGCAAGTTCAGGAGAGGCTGCACTTGAGCATAACCAACAACACTATTGCAACGCTGCTCCACAACTATTCTTCATTTAGGTGGTGTGGGGACCCCTCTCCAACACGCCCCGTGCTCGCCCGGGGCTCACGGGGCCGGTCCCGTGCGGTTCCACGCGCGTGGAGCGCGAGCAGCCCCATTCCGGGCCCAGGACACGGCGCGCTCGGCAGCGTCCGCGCAGCCAACGGCCTCTTTGGAAGGGCTCCTCCCTGCCTGTTTTCTCTGGATTGAAGAAAGGGTTTAAAGCCAAGCTGGAAATAACTTTGCTCACACAACCCAAAGCCAACTCTGGTGTTTTTTCAGGCAAAAAAGGCCTCCCGCTGGAAAGGCTTAAATTTAAGCATATGTTGAAGTGTTGTAATGAGCATAAAATAAAAACTGCTAGTGCAGATAGTTTCCCCCCAGCTCCCCCAAAAGAAACCCCACCCAAAAATCAAAAACAAAATCTCCTCAAAACAATAACAAAAACACAAACCAAACAAAAATACCCATAAATAAATGGAAAAAAAATCCCAAAGCAAGCTGCTTTAAAGCCAGTCCTTCACAGTTGTCATTTCTGGCCCTCCCAGCACAAAACTTTATCAGGAGTGAAACAGTGCAGGACTTCAGACTGCCCCTGTGTCCTTCAATTAGATGATCTGCCTATCAAATTGTTAAGAAACATCCTGTTGACAGGAAATATCAGCATGAACAGCCCAAATGAGGGAACAAGCTTTCTCAGCTCATAGTACTCACCACAGCAACTCATTAAGTGCCCCTCTTCAGGCACTTGCATGCATGTAATACCCTGCTCCTCACACTGAACAGAGGATCCAAACCATACAGCATCAAGCTGGACCTAGATTATTCTCCTTTAATATTAGCCTGGAAGAAACTTCAAATGCAAGAGCCCCATTAAATTTCAGCCTACTCGGTCAATGAGTTATGGGGCAGTTGAAAGTTTAAACAGAGTCTTGGGCACAAGCAGGGAGAACTTCGCTTCACATTTTGTTACAGATTAAATAACTAAACCTCAGAAAAGATGCAAAAAAAAGATAGGCAAGCCAGGAGACTAAGGTAAGATATTACAAAGTGCCTGACAAAGCAAAATAAAGCAAAACCAAAACCCTGTGCCCTGGGCAAAGGTGAAACCCTGGGATCTGCAGAAAGCTTTTTATGATCTTTCTACACAGCTGATTAGTACATTGACCATTGAAAAACCCTCTGGCAGATCTCACACTCAGCTGAGGTTGCCCTTCCAGCGGGGGCAGAGGGCAAGCTCATTTCTCAGATAAAAACCACGATAGGGCAGGCCATGCGATACAGGCTTCGCAACTCCTTGCATTTGGGACAGCCAGGCTACTGCGGCTGAAGGCAGCTCAGCAACACAACCTGCACATTCAAAACAGAGCTGTGTCACCAGCACCGGGATATTTAAAGCTTTTAATTAAATAAAACATTATCTTAAGGGCTTTTGAGTAAAGCTCAGACCCTAAAACTGGGGGACATACACATACACAGTGCCTCCTACCCCCAGCTAAAAGCAGAATTATGTTTAGGCGACGGGAGCATCAGTCTCGAAACAGATGGACAGGAACGAGGTTAAAATACCACCTCTCTCCAGAGGCCACGGAAGGGTCTGGAAGGGCTATCGGCGAGGACTTGTGCCCCTGCACGGAAAGCCTGACGTCCCATGGGCGACGCTGCACGTCACAAAGGTGTTGCCAGGCTCTGCCACCGGCTTCCGAGCAGCTACGACCCACCGCTGGGAACAAACCAACCCACCTGTGGCAAGTCTTAACCTGGGTGACAAGCAGCACGCAGCCACGGGACACGGCCTGCGACAGGGCAGAGGCGCGCTCGGTGCCCAGGCAGACGCTCAGCCTCGCGCAGAGCTGCAGCCCATGCAGAGCCCTGGGCTCCAGCGTGCTGGGAATGTCTCTCTGGGGACACTGGCGTCACTGGTTTCCTCCGCATCCAGCTCTTCTGCCAGAGGGCTGCGTGCAGGGCTCAGGCTGCGCCAACGGCGTTAGGATGCATTTGCCGAGTATGTCAACTAGGAGAAAGCCCAAAAGAGCTCTTTGCTCTGCCCTGGGCTCCAACAGCTTCTACAAGACAAGTAAAACTCAAAAGTTATTGTATTTGCTCATCTTATTTTTTAAGCCAGTGGCACAATGGTATTTGCTACCTACTAAAATGCACCTTCCTCACACCCTGACATCACCACCAAGCCCCAGGCTCTCACCTTTGAGCACCTGAGTCACACTAGTTTCTACACTGTTACTTCCCCAGGTCTGAGGACCTGTTTGAGTCACAGAGTTTCTCAGGTCAAATGTGAGCACGGCCACACCTGGGCACACCTCCACTTATCCAAGGATATTTGGGGAAACGTTGAGGGTTATAAAGCCTCGAGATGCTGAGTCACCTCGCTTCTACAAGAAAATAAAAAGCAAATCTGCATCAGAAGTGATGCAAGGTGGCCTGATAAAGAGGGTGAGCCAACACAACCCTTTTAGGAGACTTCTCTGT